TTGTACTCTTGCCATTTTGTGCGTCATTCATCGGTCCACCATGGCCCAGTTTTTCCGCTTTCAATGGCTGAGACTTTCCCTGCGATCTTGAGCGCATCTCCAAGTGCTTGTAGGAGATTATTCGTGAAATTTTCGATGTTGATGACACTATCAAGAGGGCCAGATATGGTCCATTGGCTAACGCATCGGATAAATTCCTTCAAGTTGGCGTCGCTGACACGAATATTCCTTACAATTCCAGAGAGCTCTAACACTGTAGGGTTAAGCACGGTACCCTCGATGCTCGAGTAATCTGAGGTACAGTGGTAACGGTTAGACACTGATGCTATAGCGGCCATGTTGCTCCACGTTGGATCTAAGACGTTCCCATCCCTATGCGTTGGCTCTCCAACAATGCTAACTAGTTCCATGTCGTGGGCTGTTGCCCATTCCATAATCTGGTTACCATTGCCGTACTGATTTGTCGTTAGCGGTTGCCAATACTGTAACACAGAATTGAAATCGCTTCCAACAACCACTAGACCTCTAATTTCCCACCGGAGTAGGGCCTCCAAGGTTCCACTAGTGCCTGGGACACGGTATACGTTGACAAAGGTTAGGCTGCCTATCTTTACAAAACAGTAGTCGGATGTCGGGCCTGATGACGATGGAAATAGTTGAGTCGCATGACTAACTTTGCACGTGAAAGTAATCGCGCGGGGCCGGATGTCTATTCCTCAAAATGATATAAGGCCATTGTAGCCAGGGTGAATTTTTGTTATGAAACCCCCCTCTTCCTTTATTGTTCATAGTTCCTGTACCATGGCTACATGTGCACCGGCATCCCATGTCTGCTGCAATGCTATATCTGTGTTTTACCCACCTCTTCCGACATTCACTTGGTTAAAGTGGACGGTGTTGTACTTGTCTTTTGGTGCTTTTGTTGAGGGGTTTCCTAACATTAACACGACATAGTTGAGTTCTGGGCAATGCCAGTTTCGACCACCTTACCCCTCCTTTCTGAGTACGCTAGAGCAGCGTGATAATCACAATGTCCGCGTTCTCTGATGATATGAAATTCTGCCGGGGTACGGGGCAGAATTATCTCGTTTTGTCGTCTTGGCCGGGCCATACAGCTATCCTCATTTGAGTGATGGGGTCCCGCGTAATCTGAGCACTTTAACACCTTGGCCTGGCATTCTGATGTCTCGTGGGTTCCCCCAAATCTTCCACTTCGTTGGCTCTGGGTGCAGGAACGCGTTGTGTAGAATCCCCAGCAACGTTGGCATTGCTCGATCGGTCGTCGGCTGTGAAGGGACTAATCACATTAGCTATTCGCATAAAAGTGTGTCGTAAATTAGTTTATATTCTGTATGAAGAAAGAAATACTACGAAGACTGCATGCTTATCTACTCGATACCGCGCGTCGCGTATGGATTTATGCAGGAGTTATCCTTTACACAACTCCTTAATCCAGCCAAGCCATGTACTCTAAGACTATTCGATAAATGAACCGGATAAACTCCGGTTATAACTAACAAGGCACTAGCCTGTAACATCGGCGTGAGAAAGGAATTGCCGGCCCGCTCTCGTCAAATAGACGTAACTTAAGATTTGCTGGTTTTTGTTGGAAATGAACAATCCAGCTCGTTGAGTATTGACCAAGTTTAATTTCTGTGGGCCTTACCTGGATTGGTGTGGCGCCACATACTGCCTGGCACTCGTTCTTCACCATTTCGTTGGTGACTGGGATGCTACCTCCAGGCGTTCTGATGTACAGTGACACATGTGGCACATGTGGTACTATCAATGATGTCCATTTGGACGCTTCCTCGATCACAGTGTTGTCTTCCTGTAGGGAAGGTGCAATCCTCATGATTGTATCTCTCAATGCATCTGAGGCGCATTCGAGAGTGATCCCCGATCTGACTGGATACATCGAGGTGATAGCTGATGTTGCTATCCCAGCCTTGTCGGTTATGATTTTCTTGATCGTAACTGGCGATAGCTTGTGCCAGTGGTGATATTTCCCCAATCGAAGGAACAGGCGTTTATCTTCCTTTGAGGTTGTCTGTGCCTTCGGGCGGCTAGTTGGAGCTGGTCTTCGCGGAACTTGCGTGCTGGGCGGAGATGGTAGCTCGGCCGCTTTACCGACTACTGTCACCCAGGTTGATCTTGTGCCTTTAGGTTTTGGCGGTAGGCTGTGGCCGTTATCCTCAACAACGATATGGTTCCTAGGCGCGACTAATTTGGGAGTGCTTGCCATGGTGGGAGGCTTCTTCATTGGAAAATTGGTTGCTTCTGCCTGATCTACTGCGTAGGCAGTTATAACAGGCATTATCATGTCCATCAGAGTCGCGACAACTGCTGCTGCTGCTTGCTTCTCTCCTTTGCTCTTAGCCCAGGAGTCGATTAGTTCAAGAAATTCCTGGGCTATACCCAATCATTATTTCCTTTGTTGTTCTGCTTTTTGCATTGTATTCACAATGCCAAGCAGGCTTTGGTGAAGTTGACATCCTAGATGGGAGGGCGTTGTCGATGACGATGCAGAAGCTGGGGCCATTGCACCGATTCGAGATTCTTGTAAAAAAAGGGGGGGATAATGATGATGCAATGTGCTTCATAGTCATAGACTTAGTAGGGACTTAATTAAATTCTATTCTATTCTATGTGATGCCTCTATATTTTTAAAGGCCACTAGGTCGTTAGCTTAATCGTCGATAAGCCGACACAGCGTCACTGCCAGGATTTCAAAGTCTAATTTCAAAGAGTCTTGAGTCTTGTATGCGTCAAACCACGATGCGAAATATTTGTCGTAGATGTTGGTGTTCATACGAAACCCTTGGGCTGTAGACGTTCAGAGACAGAAGGTTTCGTGTTAGCAAATTAATTTGAACAGTTGATGAATTGCTATGTTCACGTATAAAGTTTCGTATCTTTCTAGATACTTTTTTCTCTAGCTTAGAATCTTATGATTTGAGTCTACGCTAGCTTTTGACCACTTGCCAAATGTATTTTGTCCCTCGGGTTTCCACAAAGTACGATTATGAGCAGTACAGACTCTAAGCCACAACATCAACTCCTTATGCTCGCGTCAAGTTTAAGAGACGATATTGTTAGCGAGTCTACATCTAACTTTGTTGAAGGCGGAGGAACGTCCAACTTTGCTTTCGTGGACATTTTGTTCGCCCGTCGGTGAGTAGCACATATTGTACAATAACGAGGGCTTATCTTACTACCATTGTAGCGTCTGATACCACAATATCCTTTCTCATTCCTAGCGTCATTATCGTCGTCCTATGTGTTATCGAAAGCGTATCTTTGAGGGAGGGCCAAATAACTCAGATCAAAGTTTAAAAGGTGTCACCTAATCTCGGCTCTGCAGATTACAGTGAGAGCTGGAGATTCGAAGGAGACATTACAGATAGGTGTTGGATTCCGTCCCCCCTCAAGTTACCTTTCAGAACACTCATATTCAGATTTCATTTACAGATACGACTGGAGTCCAACCCCTATGGCGTGTTACCTCTTCCGTGCATACCCATCACAGGGAAAAGCGTGAAACCCCTATTGTCATCCGAGTGTGGGTCTTACTGGATTCGAATCAACTTTCTCCTGTTTCAAATAAGGAAGTTATTCAAGCTTCGTAGAATGTACTCGGGAGAGCGGCCCAGATAATGTATCAATGCTCCATACATACCAATAAATGGGTATTATGGATCCAACTATAACTCGACAGAGTAGTGATAATGGAATTTAACAGAGACTGATGGAGTCAAAAAGAACGAGTTGGTCACTTCTCCTAGGAGAGAAATGATATCACGATAAAATTTTCTAGCACTAGGCTGTGGACAACATAGTAAGCCTGGACCAACTTATAATGAGATCTTAACATTCAGTTATTCTCTTTATCAAGAATCTTTAATATATAAATATAAGTCTTACATATCACGAGAACACACGCAATAGCGAGGGGGACTATTCTCAACACCCGTTAGTGGTGTCCCCTATGAACCTCCAGATCTCACTGTAGAGTCTGCAGAGCTGAGATTGAGTAACAACGTCCTCACTTCAACGAGGATTCCCAATCGCTTTCGCGGTCTGTATCGTCTTCATCTCTCAACACATTCCCCTATCACCATTATCATGAAGCTAACCACGATCAGATCAGATGGTAGGGTCGGAGCCCTTCTCATCACTAACACTTGATCACGGAGGAAAAGCCATCCGATGAGTTTCCGGAGCGTACCCAGCACCCGATACGGAGATGGAGGATTGGATCAAGTCGACCTCCACTGTTACAAAGAAGGGAGATATAGATGAATATGCGCACCTCATGTGGGCCCGGTGTCGAGGCCTCGCCTGGATTAGGCTGCAGGGTTTTTTGAGACTTTTTCCCGCGCATGCAGTTTCCATTGCTACCATTTTTATTTTTTTTGGGTAGAAGGTTCCATGGAAAATGTGGCCGAATTCCATGGGTAAACACTGATCTGAATGGCTATTCATCAAGGGGAACATATCAATGATCTTTCAAGTAACATGAGAGGCAAGGGGCACTTTACAAGGTGTGGCCTGGGCCAGAGGAGCTCATTGTGCTATATAGTCGAAGACTCAAGTAGTACAATAAACACAAACACAAACGCAATAGCGATGAACGAGACAAACTATGAGCATAACCTCCCCAACAATATTCATCGTCCTGTTTCTACATGGCACAGCTAACATAACAGACTTCTATAACTCAATCCCGAGACTTTCTGACTGGTTTTCGAAGTGATGTGATTATAACAGTAACAAAGCTATCCTTATTTACAAAAAAGACTTTATCAAGAGAGTTTATTGTGAGTAATCTTAGCTCCTGAATCTAGTCGTTCGATGTGATTATGATGAAGTCAAAGACTATATATATTGTGCCAATTAACTATAGCCTAATTTCTACCTGCACATGCCTAGACATAAGTTCATCTAAATGTTTGCACACAAGAAGCCTCTAGAGTAGTTTGACGTTCATTAAATTTGAATTAGACTTTATAGAAGCAAAAGGCTGTATAAAAGTTTGCTGCCTCCATCTCTTCATCACTGACAAGTAAAGGACCACCGCCTCTTTCTCGAACACCCATGCGTTCACTTAATAGACCAAGAGTCTCGTCATCTTTCTCGGCCTTCCATATTTCATCAAAAGTCTTATGATATTGCAGCTCAAGGTTGAAATCTTCAGCGATGGCTCGGAACATCTCCCACGGAACCACGTACTCAGGTACCTCTTCAACTGCCTCACTCAAAAAGAAATTATACTTCCAACCAAATGGGGGTCGAAATATTCCATCCGCTGGTGTTTTCCCTGGAAAACGAACCTGATAAATTCCATTACCCCATGACGCACCTTCTTCCGTATCTTTTTTCTCAACATCGTCGCTCTCAGGAGTCTCTAAATTTGGTGCCTCTGATTTACTTTCGCTAGATTTAGGTGCTATGCGGGCGTTGAATTCTTTCACTTTTTCACTGAGGACGTCCGAATTGGGGATACACCCAATAAATCTGCCCCCTTTTTTAAGAGCTCCAGCCACATTCTTGAGCATTAATCGGGCTTTCATCTCGCTTTCAAAAGCGTAATGCATACAAAACATCATACTTACAATATCAAATCCTCCTCCGCCAAAACTCGACGGTCCCCCAGAACCGTCAAACCCAACATCTCGTATGATTTTGATCTTCTCAATTGATTCGCCAAAGCAATCTTGAACGTAAAATTCTCCATGAAATAATCGTTGATGCGGTCGACGATTATGGCCACTTTTTCCACCCCTGCCTCCAGCTCCATCTCCATTGCGGCTCAACATTTGCCGATACCTTTCTCTGGCTTGAGTGATTGATATATCAGCTGGATCTATTCCAACGTATAACTCGACTGTTTGAGGGGCTTGCTGCCACTTTCCAAGATCTCCACCTTTTCCACATCCTATATCCAGCACTAATAGACCCTTGGAATTTGATGGTCCCTCTGTAGAGCCTTCACCTTTATTATCTCGTGAGGCTGGGACAAAGCCTTCGTTTGGAGAGAACTTTTGAATTATCGTACTTTTGATCCAATTATTGTAGCTTCGTAGTCCTTTAATTCGGCTGTCTGTTTTACGCCAGTCTCGTCCTCGCTCTGGAACGGCATTATAGTGCTTCTTAACCGTATCATGGATACCCTTAGCAGCCGCAAGTGCGGCTGCGGCTGCTTCTGCCTCTCTTTCACGCTCGAGCTTTCTTTGACGGATTTGCTCGCGCTCTGCATCTCCAATACGTGCCCGCTGACCGGGGCGCTTTTGTTTGCGTACTGGGGGAGAATCTGAACGTTTCTCTGGTTCTAGTTTCTGTGAGTTTGATTTTGCTTTCGGCTCTGTGCGAGGTTCTTTCCGTCTGTTGCTAGAGGCCGAAGGCGATCGCGAAGATTTACGCTTCTTCGCTGACTCAAGTTTCGTCGCATTGAAGGGCTGGGGTTGGTCATTAGCATCATTGACATTACCGGCCATATTTAGCAATGAATGGAGGTGTTTAGGTATTCACGAAAGGCCTTGAGCTTTTACTCACGCTGACATGGGTAAATCGTGCTTGTTACACAGCAAGCGAGGCGTCCTTCTAGAGCCAACTAATTGCAAACGCATTTACAATATCTTGTTAAATGTGAACTTACCCGACTCTAACTAGAATAACTGCATTAACCAGAATAATGCCTTCATAATTTTCAGTGCTAACACCAATCCCGTTCGAACTAGAGTTTCAATTCCTGTATTCCTAGCAAGGAAAATGTCGTATTTCCATTATGCTCACAAAGACTGAAAACCTGTCGGCATTATGCTCACAAACCTGGGATTCAAGTATCCTGCCTGTGTCGATTGCGTTCAAACTTTGCGATGCAGATTAGATTGTCTTGCATTGTAACTATTCAAAGATTTCAACCATTTCAATCCGTCGCTCTTAGTTAGCAAAGATGAGTTCACCTTCTAGCAGTGCTGGTGTAAACGCTTATTATGCTCTACATATCTGGTATAGACAGGAAGTATCGCATCTGAATAAATGTCGAAAGCATTTTCAAGTTTATCCAAAAACTATCACTTCTAATCAATGTCGGACCTATCTTTCTCACGCGAGTCCTTCAAAATAATTATACTACAAAAAACTCGCCTTCACGACTGAATAAGAAGTCGCGCAAGAAATATTCGGGAATTTGCCTCATAAAAAATCGGTAGTCCTCCACCATAAAGTAACAATGCTTTGTATACCAGCGAGGAGGAAACTAAGTCATAATATGCAAAGCTCGTGTCAGGTCTATGGTGACCCTCACTCCAATGGGCCATACATATTAAGTAAGAACAGGCAGTCGGAACAAGGAACGAAAGAGTGAGAAATCTCTCGTGGGCATGCTAGGTCTAAAATCTCGAGTTGTTCTCGACCGAGTGACGTTTTTAATCGTCAAGAATAAGGTTTCTGCTATTTATCCAGGTGGGATTCTATTATCGATGAGTGTACGGCACTCTTCAGCATTTCAGATGACCCAATGAAGTTGCGATAAGCTACTATACATATAACACACTCTGTCCAAACTTTTTTAACACATCAGCAAGTTAAATGAGAAAGGTTTGGAAGAAGGCGAGAAAGGTAGAGGGAGAATTTACCGAGGTACCCACAAGCCTGCAGCGGCCAGTTAATCGGGCCCTTCGAAAACTTCAGAGGGGTAGCTTTGTCTTTGGATTTAGTCCTAATGTCGGCACTCAAAGAGCCCCGGGCTCAGTTGTTTCTTCGACTGTTCTCGGCTGCCATATACTAGCAAACAGCCATCTTCTCGCTTGCTGAGGTTGGAGATGATGATGGGATAACGGTTGCTTTATTTTTGCTTTCAAATGAGGACCTGTGGGGTATTGCTACTATGAAAAAACGTGAAGGAGGAGTACAATATTAGAAGCATAGATATTTTGGTTAGTTGCTTCGAGGAATCACGTGTTCTTATGCAGCCATCGATTTTAAAAGATAATAAAAACTATAGGACAATTTGAGTAATTCAAAAATATACTCTCCCTTTTTACCTCAATTTATTTGTCCTGCCTATACTTCCGAAATAATGACAATCGAAATATATCCAAAAATATCTCCGATGAGAAATAAACAACCATTGTTGACAACAACAATCGGTGTTGGATAGACACGGTTGTGTCAAAAACAGATAGGCCTCACGCAAAAATTAACAAGCTTGTTTGCGAGTGGGGTCTCTCTCTAAGGGAAAGAATACATCCTTCCCGATGGATAGAAGACTGACTGTTGGAACATCAGATCAGCAAGAAATAGTTCTGAGACCAATAAATTCTTCGAGCTGTCCTTTGAGGTGTCGAGCTCTAGAATAGGAAAAGAAGTCACCGGAGAGAAGACAATATAACATTCAGAGTTATCTCCAAAATATTGACTATGCTATTTTTCAGAAGCACGGCCAGCACCACCTCAATAGAATTTCCGCCAGAACTTTGCTCCATAATTTGGATACTTACGAAGAAGATACAGCTGTTTCTCTAAGCAAAACTACCTCATGGAAGTGTTTGGGATCGAGATTTAGAGTATGAGTGCCTCTCAGGTCAAATGAGTCATCCTACATGTTTACAAGACACTAACATATGATAAGGCTAGGAAGTTAGAGACGCATAAAACAACAAATAATGAACCTCGAATATCAGAGACACTCAAGGAGCGTATGTCCATGTGTATTTCTCTTGTTTGGATCAAAAGAGGTCAACTTGGCTTAGTGAATCACTGATATATCAGGCGCTTTGTACAATACAAAACTCATCGGTTGGCTTCATGATATTGGTTCTATAGGATTGAGTATAGTGACGAATATGATAAAGACCACGATCGGCTCTTCAAACTCTACAGTAAGAGCCAGAGGCTCGTAGAGGACACCACTGATAGGTGTTGAATTTCGTCCCCTAGACATTGAGATGAATACAAGATCGCAGTGCATAAAAGAAGGTATTGGTCAGGAGATGGATTGGATAGAAACCACACTGGATGTATTACAGGATAGACTCTTGAGGTTGGTATTAGCTACGCCAGCACCTAGTCAGGTAATATTGTCATATAACGCTAGTATTTTTTTTATTATTATTTAACGTCGTGCTAGCGCACAACACACACAATTTTTTGAAATTCGAATTTTCGAATCTTCACCTTTTTCCCGTCTCCCTCCCTCACGCGCTCGTCGCATACAATCAAAAAATTGTGATTGAGTCACTGGCATTTTCACCATGCCACCTGTTCGAAAAAAGCGTCCCAACGCCAAGTTGGACAACACGAGAGTCCACCCGAGGGCTCTCGAGCAAGTACCTGGCCTTGCCCAGTCTCCGAAATGCGTGGAGATGAGCAAGGTCTCAATCAAAGGGAAGGAAAAAGCCCTCTCCGCCGTCACTGAACCCGATACTGACATGATCGGGTCATTCGAAATTGTTGGGGAAATTCCTCAACGAACCTCCGTCCCCCACGGGATTGGAGAATCGTCCAAACCTCCTCCGACCACCTCAAAACCGTCGGAAAACGCTGCACCCATAGCAGCGTCAAAATCAACGTCGCAGCCAAAAGCTGCCACGAAAGCAGAGTGTCCCCTCGAGCTCCGACCAATAGTCGAAGTTGAACAACGACGCGCCGCCGAAACAGCGGCAAATCTGGCCCTCTGCTCCGCCGCCATCTCTGGCGTCGAAGCCACCCTTCTCTCTTTGACCAACGGGTCAAATAGACAATTCGTAGACTCCATGAGAGTCTACCTACGCGCCGCCATTGCGCAATACATGGCCACGGGCCCGGTCACTACGCCACCCGTTCGCCCTCCTCGCCCGACGAACCCTCTCCCAAGGGCTCCCGACGCCAGGAGCCAAACAATACCCACCATCCCAGCTCTGCCCGTCAAAAGCACCTGGGCCACGGTGGCCAGACACGGACTGCGACAAAAAGCAGTCTCAACTGCTAAGGCTATGCCGCGACCTGCGGCCAAAGCCCAACAAAAAGAAATCCCCAAGGCGAAAGTCGACAAGCGACTGTTCCTTCGCCTTGAAAAGGACCACCCGTGGCGAAAACTGTCCACAAGTTGCGTGAGAAACAAATTGGAGATGAGATTCCTTTTCTTTCACGATAAAATAACCTCACTTCATCGAGCGAGGACCGGCTTTGCTATGCTAGCAAAGGACGAAAAAACACGACAAGAGATGCTAGATGACTCTTCGAAGCTGGCTAGTGAAAACGCAAAACTCGAGGCATCTTCAGATCTTGTAGCCTTACAGATACCGAACGTACCTGTAAGTATAGTTACAGTGGGCGGCACCAGGGCGGTCGATGCTAGCTGGGTCTCTGCCAAGATTCTCGGTTCGACCGCCGCGATTCCAATCCAGGTCCGACCTCATGGGACGTGTCGACCTGAGGCACCACACCGAAACTGGCATGCCCTTTTCGACCGGGAAGTCGCCCATCGTGCGGGCTTCCGCCTCTTGGGCGAGTCTGGTAGGGCTACCATTCACAAGCCTCGCCGCCAAATTGAACAGTGTAAACGCTGTTTGGGCTTCCACGCCACTCGTGGTTGCTCCCGCGCTCCAGCCTGCTGGAACTGCGGCTCCAACATGCACTCGGAAGCCGAGTGCAAGGCCCTCACAAAGTGTCGCAACTGTGGGGGACCCCACCGATAGGATTCTCTGGACTGCCAAGTCAGACCCAGAAAGTCTGGGCCGGTGACAAAAGAGCAGCTCGCGTGGATACGCCACCTCGAGCAAGGGAAGTTCGCGGAGGCGGCTCGAGCTCGAGCTGCAGCCAAAAAGGCCGAAGAGGCGATCGTCGCCGCGGCGAAGGATGTCGCAATGGCCGAGGCAACAGGTTTCGGAGTGTTGGGATCTGAAGAAGAAGTTTGAGGACACAGCAATCTCGACGATGTCCCCTCCTGGGGCATCTACTAAATATTAGCAGGATACCGGCTGGATCAAAGGTGCCTGCTAACTCATCTTTCGCTCTCGGCATAGAAGGGGTAAATTTGTCATTTGGAAGGTGTGACGGACGAGGGATTGTGTGAGGAGCACATTGACTGGGTCCATTATGGAGGAACCTTCTGTTCTTTCGGAGTTGTTTTGATTTTCTTGGTTTTTCGTTTCAGTTTAATCAGCTGCACTTTTGGTAGCGATTCACGAGGTGGGAACGAGTTAGGCTGTAGGAAAGATTACAGGGAACCCTGCCGGCCCCGCCTGTCCTTGACTCAATGTGGAAAACATAGCTTTAGCTTAGGACAAAATAAACAAAACAAAAAACAAAAACAACCTCAAGATCTCGTGTTGGCCAGCCCAGTCTACATAAACTATCCACGTGCCGATACTTTTAAATAAGCCCGACATCTTATAAATGGGCCAAGGCCTACCTGGCATACACTACGAACTATCGAAAGAAGTCAAAAATACTCTCCAGCTGAGATATAATGCTAGTAGCCGCGTGGCTAGTTATGTAAGGCCGTTCATTA